TCTTTAAGAGTGCTAAAGGGGTAGCAGTGGTGGGAGGAGATAGGGAAAGGAAAGAATGGAAAGAAAAAATATGAGAAAAGAAAAAAAAATGGAAACGAAGTATGTAAATAGGGAAGGGTGGAAGGGTGAAGGGCGCACAGGTAATGGGGAAAAAATAACAACCAAGGCCTCCCGAGCACGCACTATCTCGCGCACTCGCGCAGTGCATGTGTATTGGCTGGACTGAGGTGGTAGCAATGGACGTCTTGGACGGAATTATCTATTAACAAACGTCTGGAGTCGGGCGTGGTGGCACACGTCCAGCACTCGGGAGGCTGAAGCAGGAGGGTCGCTGCGAGTTCAAGGGACTGTATCAAAAACCCCAAAAAGCCAAAAACAAAAAGAGCCAAGAGATTCCTTGAGGAGAACCAAAACTTAGTGAAAATAATAAAAATGCTATGCTGATCAAAGGGAGAAATGCAAATGCAACAGTGACACAAGTACTGAAAGACATATATGCACTGAAAAAACCATATGGCGTTCTGTATAAAAAGAAATATATTACAAGACCATTTGAGGATCAGACATCACTGGAGTTCTTTTCAAAGAAGTCAGATTGTTCTTTATTCATGTTTGGATCCCATAATAAGAAGCGGCCCAATAACCTAGTAATAAGTCGTATGTATGACTACCATGTGCTGGATATGATTGAATTAGGTATTGAGAAATTTGTGTCTCTAAGAGATATTAAGAATAGTAAATGTCCTAAGGGAACAAAACCCATGTTAATATTTGCTGATGATGATTTTGACACTACAGAAGACTACAAAAGACTAAAAAGTCTTCTTATGGATTTCTTCAGAGACCCCCACAGTGGCAAATATCCACCTGGCTGGGTTAGAGTATGTTCTGCACTTCACCGCTCTGAAGAGGAAGGTTTACTTTTGAAGCTATAACCAAAGAAGAAGAAAAATATGTTCCATGATACTTTTGGTACAACTTATGGAAGGATTCATATGCAGAAACAAGACCTAAGCAAACTACAAACAAGGAAAATGAAGGGATTGAAGAAGCGACCTGCAGAAAGGATAACAGATGACCAGGAGAAAAAGTCAAAGAGAATTAAAAAAAAATTAATGGAACTTAGCCAACAACTAGAGTTTTATTGTAATCTATTTACTATGGGAATCATCAAGCTTCAATACAATTCAATTTCTGTTAAAAAAAAAAAA